ATACATACATACATACATACATACATACATACATACATACGCATACATACACCTATACATATATATAGATGTTACAGCATGTGTACTATTATTATTGTATACGCGAGGAATACTCTACCGTCGTGTATAGTAAGTAAGCAACCATCCATAAGCGCAATTTGACAGACATACACAACAACACACAAACATATCTATACGAACGTTTATTTATACTCTTAATTGCCCACTGCAAAGAAAAACGTTATATGCATATAAATAAGCCAATAGATGATAATTATGATGTAAAATAGAAGAAGTACATAAAAGAATTCGCAAGAAGACAAGCGCGAGCAAATCAACAAAAGCGCGAAAAGAAGAAAATTGCAATGAAACAGCAACACAATAATGAAAATATAAAATAAATTGTTAAACTACTACGAGAAAAACGAAAAAAATAAATAAATAAATAAAAAATGAAAAAAAAATGAAAAAAAGAAAAACAAAAAGTGAAAAGACAGAAAGAGAAAAGAAATCAAAAACAATGCTATTTATATATACGTTTGTATGTACAATGAACTTTGGAAATAAAAGCAAAGATAAAGTAACTTTGGAAACAAAAAATACGAATACATGCATATATCTATATATGTATAAACGTATATATAAAAGTATATAACAACACGTTATATTGACTACTACCCAAGTAGTGCTGCAAGTCGAGAGAGTCGCACAAACGTGTGAAATGTATATATATATATATATATATATATATATATATATATACTACGTACCTACCAAATTCAAAGGTAAAAATTACATATAGCTTAGTTGCGATGAAAGGAGACTAGATGCCACATAGTAACAACAATAATAACATGTTACTCTCACTGCGCTTCGAGTTGACTTTTTTTTGTTTTTCTTTTTTTTGCTTTAGTTTCTATACATTTTCACAGTATTCGCAAGATTTTGTGCGTTGTTCATATATATAAAAAGGTGTTGATAGGAAAATACCATATATATATATATATATATGTTTTCATACGCACAATACATAGAAAAAGGAACATAATAACATAGCATAATTACATGAATAGCAAACTCTAACAGTGATTTTTATAAGAAAAGAAAGAAAAGAATGAAATGTGAGATCAAAAGTAAAACGAACGGAGAGAGAACAACGCTAAGCCGTTCTTAATAAATATGTGCGTGCAGCAAGCTAAGCAGCAATCAATCTGACAAAGTATTCCCTCAATTTTTGGAAGAAAATTTGGAGAAAAAAGAAACAAAAAAAAAAAAAGCGGGAACACATAAGGAATGCGCACAATCTCGAAGCTACAAAATATTTCCTCTCCCGACATACGACGATCAGAGTTGTATTCTTATAGCAATATAAGAGGCAAACAGCTGATTAGAGATGTTGTTGCAGATTGTATACAGATAACCTGCGAAACAAGTTTCTTCAATTTTCACAATGGAACGAATTCTAATGTTAAAGTATAATATATTTTAAAATAGCCGGTAATATTTTTTTTTTTTTTTCAATTGATATGAATATCTGAATATATACTAGACATGATAACTTAAATGTTTATTTAACGAAATGCTAAATTTGCAACTTCTACAATAGAGGTCAATATCACTGATGCAATGACAACGACAACGACAACGACGACAACAACAGCAACACCTGCTCATTTTGATATGTAACAGTTATAAATACTTGAAAAACGGGTACATGTATCAGTTAAGGTAAATATTAAAAGCAAAAAAAAAAAACAAAAAAATTAGAAAAAAAAAAAAAAAACTGGACTAGCCAGTTTATTTAAACTATTAAACCGTCAGCATTTCACATAGCATAAACTCTCTCGCACCAACACTCATACAAATATAAAAAAGAAAAGTGAAACATGGGCACTTGTACATATAAATAAAGATAAGAAAAAAAAGAAGCTAAATTGGATAAACATACTCACCAAAGCAAAAAAGTTTGTGTGGCAATCCTCCAAACTAGCGCCGTTGGTCTGATGTGATTGATGCGTCATAGTTCATATATTTTTACAACAACACAACTGCTCCTCATTTTCTCAATTATGATTGTTGTCGTTTTTTTTTTATTCTTACTAGTAATATAATACACCACAGCACAACAATTTACGTTTTCCACAAAAAAAAAACAAAAAAAAAACAAAAAAAAAAAAAACAAAAACAAAATACGTTGCTTACAAAACGAAATTGAAATGAAGTTAACGTACCATGCTAGTGTAATAAACAAATGCAAGTACGCATCGGTAGCGAATAAAAAACACACAATCGCGGAGTTGCATGTGTAGTTAATTATTATTATTATTATTATTATTATTTTTTGTTGTTGTTGTTATTGTTATTGTTGGTAGTATTGTTGTTGTATCTTAAAATGCAAAAATTGTCGGAGATTAAAGTAAAATAAGTTGATGGAAGTTGTTGATGATTTTGTAATAATTTATTTTTTCTTTTATTATTTCCTTTTCTTTATATATTTATTTATTTGTACTTAATGCAAATTGCTGTTAATGTCTTTTATTGTTTCTAGTTAATGAAGCACTTTTTTTAATTATCGTTACTATTAAGACACTTGCTTTGCAACTCTCAAATACTCTATTTATGATTAGGTGACAGACGCCAATAGATAATACATATGACCAGGGAGAGAGATTTTTTTTTTTATTTACTTCTTTTTTTCCTTTTTTTTTTTTTTTTTTTTTTTTAAATTATTTATAAAATCTGTTTCTTTGGTGTGCTGTTGTATTACAATACAAGAGAAGGGGCAAACGTGCACAAATGAGACAAAGTTTGAGATGTTACACTTTTTTATGTAAAATAGAAAAAAAAAAAAACAAAAAAAATTCAAAAACAAATATATATCTACACACTTTTGTTTTCTTTTCAATTTTTTTTCCTAACACCAACACTTTGTTGTTCACTTGCAATAATAGGCAACGACAACACCAACTTATATTTATACGTATGTACCTATACATAGGTGCATATGTATATATATACATATATATATATATATATATATATATATATATATATATATATATTATATATATATACGACACGTAGGTTGTTAAGTGGTGCTATTCAAACATCTTTAAGGAATATATTGAAAAAGAAAAATCACTAGCGACCATATCATACTTTTATGTATGTATATGCATGTACGTATGTATCTATGTGTTTTATATATATATATTTTTTTTTTAGTTTTATATACGTTTTTTAATATATGTGAGTGTATATGATTTATCCATGTGTGTGTAGGGGGTTGCTGTTTTATTTTGTGTTTTCCTGTTTTTACTTTGGTATTTTACTTTTATTATGCTTTATATTTATTGAATGGTTTTTGTTTTGCTCGCGAACTCATTCCTTCTCCTTTTCTTCTTACTCTCATTGACAACAAATAACAAGAACTCGTGCAATCATTCACGCAACATACACAACAGAAAAGATAAAAGAGCGTAAATGAATGAGTTCAAATTAATCTCAGCAGGGCGAAAAAGAGAGATAGCAAGAAAAAGAGAGTTCCACCGTTCATCGACTCGATGAGCGCAACAGAGTAAAATGCATCAAACAATTCCGCAAGAGATACAAAAATCGAGTGTTAATTATTGAAAATAGTTGTAGTTGTTGTTTTTATCATTATTGTGCGCGAATGGTGCTTTTTTCGATAGAGAGGCATACAACACATACACAAACACACACATGGCATATATATATATATATATATATATATATATATATTTACATATATATGCATTCATCTACATTCATATGTATTAATATATATATTTATATCTATAAATATATATATATATATATCATACAAATTTATAACAATCAAATAGATTAGTGCCTGCCTATGGTAGTAGATTGTCTTTTTTTTTTTTTTTTTTTTTTTTATTATTATTATTATTATTATATGCCGTTTATTATTATGTTGTATATTTTAGTAGTTTGGTTAGCTACAGTTTACACAGTTTTATACACACCGATACCGACGATGAGAGCGAAGACCCAATAGCGAACGGCCGAAGTCCGTAAGACGTACTGTTTTTGTTATTTTTGGATGTGTGACGGTAAAAAAAGCAACAAAAAAATTTTTAATTCTTTTTGTATTTCAGTTATTTTTTTTCTCTGTATTTTTAAGGCTGGCGTTACTTTAGTTTTTTCACTTCGACACATTTCTAACGCTGTACGCCAAAATAATTATCAATATATATTTTGCTTTCTGATTTCACTTTATATGGAAATCTTTTCTCTTCGAACTTTTCTTTTTTCTCATTTAAAATTTATTTTTATTGCTTTTTATATATTTTTATATTCACATTCATTAAAAGTTGTAGTTGTTGGTTATAATTGATGAGCACTTATTATTTTTCTTTTTTGTATTTATTATTTTGTTGCTTTTTGATGCGATAACAATTAAACGCACGGTAAACAGCTTCAGCTACACTAGAAAAAACAGCACAAAAATAACAATTAACACCTTTTTTTCTTATTTGAAAACTGCTTACGATAATTTTCTTTTAATAATCGCAATTTTATTCCAAAACTTAAACAAATGTACAATGGATTTCTTTCGCTTAATAAAGGACGAGTATGAAAAATGTTAACAATCAACAACGACGACCAAACGAATGAACGAATATGAACGACATTGCTGGTCGGTTTACAATACAATGGAAATTTTGCTTGTTTTGCTTTGTTGCCTTTACTTTGTTTTTGCTTTCAAGTTGTGGCTGAATAACTGACTGATGTTTTTTGTTATTATTTGTTCATTATTACAATTGCAGCTATTGTTGTTGTTGCTTTTGTGCTACTATAGTTGAAATAAACAAAAAATAAAAAAAAAAAGCGCAGATATATACAATAAAACACGATCAAACCTATATGTGCATATATGTACTTGTATGTATATCAGACGAATGGTATACATAACAACGGCAACCAAATATATACATGAATTCTCTTTGAACAGGGTTGCATTGTATACCACAAAAATTTTGTTGTTGTACATATTTTTTAACAGGAATTTTTTAGGTTTCCTATGGATAAAAAGAAAAATCCTTAAAATGCTGTCGATTCCATGTCATTAGCACTGCAGAAGGTTATCTTTTTTACTTTTTTTTTTGAAAATGGTTTAATGCCCGCACAGGCCTGGCCTGCCTCTGTGTCTCTAAGTTTGTTATCTTTTGCTTCTGCCTTAGCCTTTGATGTTTGTGTGAAAAAAAGGCAAAAAACAATTTAAGTCGAGGGCGATGCACGCATACAAAAAACTTAATTCAAAGCAAAAACCATGAGAAAGTAATACATATAACGTATTTCCTAAACAGAAAGAGAGAAACGTAGAGCATGTTTTCATTGTAATACCTATACAAGTACATATATATATATATATAAATTTTCATACGTATACGTATATCTGGTAATTTTGTTTTTTATTTCGAAATGTGAGAGAGTTCAAAAACAAGTTTTCTCTTGCAGAGTTTTTAAAGAGGTCTACAGATACTTTACACATACATATAAACATACGTAACTCGGTATAAATGCATTTATCAACTAAAGCCCTCAAATGTGACAAATGTTAATTACTCTCAGTGTGTTTACCACAAATTCGCTAATCATCTATATTATCTCTGTGGTTGTGTGTGGTACTGTAAATAGTAATAAACACCTAAGAAAAAATTAAATCCCAAAGCTTTACACATCATTGTAAGGAATTTTCAAAGCGTAGCTATTCAAACCAGACATGAATATGCAATCAGCACGTACGTTTGTAAATAGTAGAATAAAGACAAATGGAAAACGGTTATATAAAAAAGAAATTTTTATATATAAAACGAATAAGCAAATTTAAGCATATTTGTTATATCAACTCTAATAGTGTGGGCCTTAAAATCTTTTAAATACATATACTCAGACCTATGTATGTATATGTAATGCCAATTGTTACATATATGTTTTAATTTTAATCTAACGTAAGTTGCAATCTCGATTTAGTAGATATATACATCGTTATAAGTGTATAAAATTTTGCGGAGAATTTCGTTGGTCTTTACGCAGTTGTTATTCATCTGCGAACACATATGTCTTTCACTGGGTGTTCCTATTTCAGATTATCAAATATTTGAATTTTTCTGTGGCAGAAAAAGTGTAGTGAAAAATTTCAAAAGTACATTAGTCATCAATAATAAAAAAAACAAAAAAAAAAAAAAAAAAAACAATTCCCTTTATTGTTCTACACATCTACGGTCGGCAAATACGAAAAGAACTGCAAGCAGGTGTTGCTCCTCTACGATACATTCTCACGATTTTATTTTATCAAAGGCAAATTCGAAGCATTCTATATCTCAAAGCTATTGCTTGGAAACGTTACCGCAATATGTATACATATACATTTACGCATATATATATATAGATATATATATATATATATATATATCGGTACTAGTTGAATAATGTGTTGAAGATAACTCCAAAACACATGCACGTATATAAATAAAATATGAAATTCGTTTTCCAACCACTTACTGTGGAAAAAAGAAACTTTTATATGATATATCATTCAGAAGACCCTCTGCACAAAAAACCCATCTTTAGGGTTCAGTGCATATAAAATATAAAATTAAAGAAACCTCCCCTCCTTCTCACTCCCATAACAAAGCATCAAAAAAAGAATCTCTTGTCTGCGCAGCTATATTTTCGATTTCTCTCTCTCTTTCTCTCTATCTCTACACCACTGGTATTTCATTTTTACATTTCATCTTCTCTTATTGTTCAGATACAAGTATCTGTGTATTTACTATGTAAAGGTAGCTTTTTACATATACGTTATTCTCTCTGTGCTTCTTTCCATTGTATTTTTCAGTATTTCCTCTTTTTTGTTAATGTGTACATTCGCACGTACACACACGCGCGCATATATATATATATATATATACTGTCTACATTTTGAAATTACTGCCTTCTCCGATGGTGGTGGCAGTGACGGCGGTGTATGCTGCTGTCGCTAGCAAACAGTTCAATACTGGTGATACTTTTTTGCAACAACGATGTTTTTATAAAGTCATATTTGTGTATGTTCGGCTACGTTCATACATTCATCCATCCACAGCCAGCCAGCCAGCCAACCAAACAACGGACCCAACGACCATTTACATACATTTAAACAAACATAAATTAAACTTCTCTGTGTTGTTTGTTACTTATTCGTTGTCGTCACAGACGTCTTCTGTTTGGTCTTCTTTCCTTTTTTAGCGGAAATAGCAAAAGAGAATGAACAGAGAAAATTGCAAAATTACGCGTCATATAGGAATTTTTTTCTTTCACAATTTAAAATCGATTTATTTCTTCTTGTTCTTCTTTAGTCCGTATTATAAAGCCTTTATATATCTAATTTCAATTGGCTATACTTTACTAAGTTTCTTTTAAGTTCCCATCTATAAATGTTTATCTACGCTACTGCGAGTGGTGTTATTCATTTCGGATGGGAGATTTCTTTTTTAGTTTTCTTTTTTCCCTTTTTTTGCTGTATGAGTGCGTTTCTGGCTGTTACTGCTGCTGCTCATTAACTATTTTGCTCCACTTTCCATTCACTTGTAATTTTAATCGATATTTTTCTCAAAATTTATCGAATAATAAAAATATTAAACACTAACACTTAGCAAATTCTTATTAATTGAATAACATATATCAAATGTTGAATACTAAACGTTTTCTTAATAGAAATTTTTACCGAAATAATTGGATATTTTTGCTTTGCTGAAGAAAAAAAACGACAGTGAACCGAAAAATTTTATAATGCATAGAGTAACACAGACGACATGACGTTTACGACTGCGACGACTATAGAATTGAAAATGGCGTTGGCGAGAAATATACAGATTTTCTCATTTCTTTCAGTTACACATTTCTATGCCAGGGTTGTAAAATTGGGCACTAAGCTTGATAAGAAACCGTTATTTAAATTATTTTGCACAAATATCTTTACAAAATTATGTTATTAGGACACATGTTTAATCTAAAAGATTTTAAATTAATTAAATTTCGCTAAAGTCTGTATAAATCAATTAATTCTATTATTCATTTCTGTTTCCTAAAGGACATCAAATTTCTGGCTTTTTCTCTTTTCCTTATTATACACGTACACGCATACTATGTTGACAAAAATTGATTTTTTCTCACTACACAACAAAACAAACAAAATGTTTTTTTACAAATCTTTCATTGCTGCAGTTTATAAGAATTTTTTTTTTTTTGTTCACGTCTTAACATTTTAAACAAATTTCAACTTTGTTGTCTTAAAAAGCAACAATTAGCGCATAAAATTGCGTTTTTTTTCAATCTCCTCAACTTGATGTCTGCCTCTTTTTTACATTTGATGTTTAATAACCATAATACTAGTGCTGTTACTCTCCAACCAAATGTCGGCAAAATTCACCCACATTTACACACATACATATACTTACGTATCTATGTGCATATATTAGATACATACGTACATATATGTATATATCATATATATTCATATATAAAATAATATATACATATATATATATATATATATATATATATATATATATTTATGTGTATATATTTATGTATATATTTTGGGATAATACACATTTATGTTGTAATATAAATTTTTTAACCTTGTTAAATATTTCTTCACTTTACCAAATGCTGTTTTTATTACATGTATCTGTTTAGCAAACGATTTACTGAGTATCAATCTTTTTTTTAATTTTCTATAGCTCTTCGTAAGTTTTTCTAGGAAAAAGATGCGTATATTTAACCGCAGATAAAGCTACACACACAAAAAGAACGAAACTGATCACAGTACTGCCAGCGTAAAGATTTTGTCCTTATTTTATACTTATTATCTTTTTAAATTGCTTCCCTTACACTTGCAATTTGTGACTTTTATAGCAAATGGCAATATTGAGACAGATTAGTTCTACCAGCTGTTTCTCTAAATAATAGTTAATTATATTACTTAAATTCTCAAAACCTAAAAAAAAAGGCTTTAAAAATGCAAGTCAATTTAGGTAAAATATTTAAAAACCTACAAGTAAGTAAAGCCTTTATATATAAAATCTTGCATTAGTCCTAATTAAAACTAACCCAGACGAGAGGGAGTAAGTGGTATTCTACGAAACCTAAAAGCGGTGTCGAATTAAAGGCTCTTGCTCAGTCATTGTCTAGTAAGGGGTAAGCAAGCACAGCATAGTGTTTAAAGAATAAAAATAAAACGTATTCATTATTTTTTCTTGTTACTAGGTTTTTAAGGCCATATAAACAGTATGTTCCACCGGAAAATGTAGCCGACCAAGTTAAGAATATATGCTTATCTCTGCAATTATCAAGCGAACCCAAATATAAGCTTGCAAATCTGGATGAGAAATTTAAATTTTTAAAATCGTGCTTTACAGATTTTAAACATTCGGTACCTAATTCGAAATTACACGAATTAAAGACTATTGGTAAGGTTATATATATATATTTATTAGCAATAATCTAAACAGTTAATATTGTTGACATAAAACAGGTGACGTTATTCGGTTCTACAAGACTCCGGTGAACACAACTGTGTCGTACGATGTCTTAAAACAAATAAAATTGCCTGAGAACCTGCATATACAATACGACTATGTACGTTTTCACCCAGAAACCGATACCAAATTTAACGGCCAAACAGCTTTTCCAAAAAGTTCCACTTTAGTTACTGGTCTTAAGTATCGTGGTAGATACGAGGGCCATGAAGCTAAGCGTTCGTGGCCTTAAAATGAAGATAATTTCAAGTTTCTTTTTGTTCAATATATATTGTTGTATTTAATTAAAATTGTCTTAAAATTTCATTAAAGTTTCCACAGTTGATAATAAATTCGTGTCCATCAGGGCATCTAAAGCCTTTTGAACTCTAATATCTTTAAGTAACTCTAATAGGCGTGCGTCCTCTTTAACAGCTTGTAAACTAGGATACAATAAATCGTAATGAGTTTCTGCTACTGATGGCTTATTTAATATATTCAGTATTTTCTTTTGCAATTCAATTTCAGGATCAGGCACATTTGTATTGACTTCTTCAGCGGCATCGCCCAATTCCACTTTCATTTGCAATTCACGACGTTCCTGCAAATACTTTATAATGCGGTCGTACTGCAAGACAGTTAATGGTAAATTGTCTGCTAGTAGATCCAATAGTGTCTGCATAGCATCGGGATGTCGCTCTTTTAACGGTGGTACCACATAGCTAGCAACTGCGGGTATAATAGGTACAGATTGGGGTAAATGTAATGTTGACGAATTACCCGCAGCTATTATGCGTTGCTGTGTTTTTGCTCTTTGTGATTTGCGGAAATCTTCATCAATTAACTTAATTGCGTCATCGACTGGCATATTACGATGCTCAGCTGGTTGCCCATGTAATATATTAACAGTGATACTTCGATGTTCCTCATGTTGAGTAGTTATAAGAATAGCATATAAACAGCCTCTTGAAGCTATGTTAGACAGCTAAAAATTTATTTCAAAAGAAAATTTCAACAATTAGATAACATATTAGTAAAATAGAAAAAATTAAATTGTATTTTTTATCAATTTCTCAATATCAATTTTAAATAATTCAAAGTTCAAAGTTATTTCGAATACATCTTTCCTTCTTCTGACAAATATTCAAACCCTTATAATATTGGTGAGTTAAAATTTGCTTACAAATTTGGGATTTCTTTAATTTTCTATCTATAGTTAGAGGGTGATCTTCATCCCTATCTAAGGAAAATTATTTGCAAAGATAACCCCTACGACATAATTTTCTATACAAACTCCTTCAGATGTTATTAGGAAAACCAATGAGATACGGACATTGCTAAACTGAATTAGAACCCTAACCGAATGAAGTACATATTAACTAATTGCTTACTTAATGCATGTGCTGCGAATGGCCAGGCAACATTTGTAAAATTCTCATTCTCAGGTAATCGATGCTCTGCATCATAATAAGCTATTATAGCCTTCAATGTGTTCAACATTTTTCTTATATTGTACTCACCACTTTGCCTAATGGTACATCGGCATTCGGAAATAAAACATCTACTCTTAAATGCAAAAATTTCAAACGTTCCTCTATCATTTCGGCATACTTCCTGTAAGCAAATGTGTATTTAATTTAAATGAGACATAAATTCAGTTTTCTATAATTCATTTAATTTACGTGTTCCTTCGATCCACGACAATTATTTCACAATCATTACAATTTGCAATTGAGTTATGAATAGACGGTCCCGTTGATTTCGTTTGCCGCGTGCTGTTTGCATTAGATACGCTAAGACTTACATTGGCATCACTGGCTAGTTGCTTCTTGTGGACTCCGGCATTACGTACAGTGATCGTATTGCCTTTAAAGGTCGACTTTGTTAAAGCTGATGCTACTTTGTTGGCTACTTCCTCAGATTCCATTTGCACAAAGCCGAAGTTTTTTTGTACCAATGAACCCAAAACTTTACCATATGGCAAGAAAATACTTTCTAGCTCCTCCTTGGTGCAGATAGGTAAATTTCCAATAAAAACACGACTTTTGGATAAATTTGGATTTCGTATAATGCTATTCTTTCCATTTAACTCCGCCATGTTCCAACTTTACTGAATAACAATAGAAAATCTTAACACTTCAAAAAAAAAAAAAATCCTTTTGTTCTCTCTTCTTCTTTTTTTTCTAACAAATCACAATAAAAGTACATAAGAGTGAATTATTATCGCTTCTTATTTATCAAATGGTATTGTATGCTCGTAGTGGTACAAATGGAGCAACTGGAAGGACAAACATAACATATCACGATCAATCAGTAGTGCACTAATGAAAGAAACCGATAAAGAATTTTTTATGTATACATACATTGTAATTTTTTGATAATTGACATATTAAGTTCTAGTTTTAGCAATAATTTGTTACAGTTAGTTGGCTAAATTATTATTATTATTTACCCATACTGCCACACTGCGACACTGATCAATAATATGCTTACTTTGAGGAGAAGTATTACATTTTAATTCGATACGAATATTTAACAGAGACTCGAAGTTTGTTTGGAAAATCTTTTGAAATCCAAGACTCTCTGTATCGATTAGGAAGAAAGCTCCTTCTTATGTATTCAAATTATGATAAGTAGGAAACGGCTGTTCAGATTCAGCTCGAATATTTTCAGTATTGTAAATCCCTGTAACATTTATCGACTTGCTGTAAAGATTACATAGGGAGAACTCTCAGAAAGCACTTTTTTCAATGAGAGTCTCGCTAATATATACGAAAGTCCACATTTAGAAAACTGTTCCATCGTTCTTTTTTGGAATATAATAGTAATAACGAATTTGTCAATCAATTAATTTGTTTTTTTTAAATGACTGGGAAATTAATTAGCAAAAGGATTAATCTTTCGGGGAGAGAATGCAAGTTTCTTAATGAACAAAAATTCTACATTTCAATAGAAAGGAAAGTTAATTCAAATTTTTTTAGTTATGGAAGAAGTTGACGATTTCAAAAAACAATTTCCCCGGCGATCGTTGCGTTTGTCACAGAAAAATTTCCAACCAAAAAAAAAGGACGAAAATGGTGGCGAGCCGAATGTATCGTACAATTTGAGCAAACAGTCGGTAGTTAATAAAGGGGCTGGTAAATGTTTGAATATATGAAAATCTCAATCTGCGAATATACTTGACGACTGATATTAACTTATATTATATCTTATCAAGATGCCGTAGAAAACCTGAAGCAGCAGCAGCATAATGAAATTATTCGGGCAACTGAAAAAATCATACCGCTGGCAGGCCCCAGCAAAATTTCTGTACGTCAGGATTTGATAGACAAATCGTTGTCGGCTGCAGATTGTGTTTCACATGAACCTATCAAAATATATGAAAAAAAAAGAACTCTACCCGTTGATAATGGCGATAATAGCTCTCAGATAGATAAAGTAAAAAAGTGCCGCCGATCTGCACGCAGACCTGCCAGGAACGGCCAGAGGAAAAATAAAAAAACTGCGGCGCCTCAACGGATATTGCGGGCAGTACAACGAAAATATTCGCGATCAAAGGTAAATGCCGTTGGTCTTGCCGGCAAAAGGAATAATAGGAAACCATTCTCTTACAACTATATGGAAAAATTGAAAAATCTGAAACTAGACTGCTGTCCGCAAGCCAGTTTACCTTTGTGTGGAACATCAATGCTACCCGACATTTATCCACCACATTTTAAATATCAATTGCCGCCAGAAAACGTTCCATATCAATTAGGTAGCTATTATCCAAGAGAGAATCTATATGAACGACCAACAGTCACAATGACACCTGAAGAAACTGAAACACTACCATCAAGTTCAACTTCGCCGTCAATGCCGGGCTCATTGCGTGGCCTATTTGATACCGACGACATACATGAATTACTTAATGTTGAGCCCGTAGTGTATCGTTTAAATAATTATCATGTTCAGGCCTTCGCTGCCATTTTAAATTTAAGCGTTGTCTACGTAAAAGAAATCTTAGATAGAGTTGTAAGACTTGATTTCTTGGTATTAAAAAAGATGGATGAAGCCTTAAATAGGCCATGTACAGGAGAAGAAGATATTTTTGCTGAAAATTTCTCATCTCCTGAATACATTCCCAACAGCCAAACTCCGCCTAATTCGCGAATATTTCCTAGTCAAAAGAAATAAAATAATTGGCACAAACCTTTTATTCAAACTACTACGAACTATTATGTGAAATAAATCCATTTGAGATTTTTATTCTTGAATTCATTTAGTTATCTGTTCTGTTTTTTTCTATTTATATTCATTTAATTTGCTGATAAAGACGTCATGCTATGTTTTAAAACACTGCCTTAGCGGTAAACATAACGTATATAGACGAGAGAATTTTAACATATGCTTGCTCTACATACTTTATCTGTTATCTGTATTATTAAAGAAGCACATGTTTGACCGCAAATATATTTTTTAATACCAAAATTTTTGATTTTTGTTTTAAATTAAAATTTTTAAATAAATTATGCCTTCTAAATGCAATGAGTTAGAAGATTTTGTTGAATTGGACGAGCACGAAAATTTCAAAACAAATATTACAAGTTCAACGGAAAACAATGATCAAATGAAAGTGAAACGTAGAATTATTGCCGGTCCCTGGAAAAATGTGTAAGATAGCCTGGTTTCCTGGTTATTTCTTTATATTCTCACTTCGGGTAATTTTATATTAAACAGAGCAGAATTCAAGAAAGTCTATTGCTGGCTTTATGGTCCCGATTCTAATACTGAGTCTCGCAAATTAGCTCTTAGCCAGATGAGAGTTTGGGGCTTAAGACGTAGCACACAATGTCCGGCCGCCATTTTGGGTACTAGTGTTATGGTGGAAGTTCAACTAAAAGATGAAGCGGCTTCGATTGCAAACAATGACGACTTGCAAATGTTATATGCGAGCGCTTTTACAAGGTTTTTTAATTTCATGTCTTCGATCATGCAAACTTATAGCATACGTAACATGTATGATACGGCCAAAGACTTGGGTTTGGCATCTTTTGTGGTCGACTTACGTCACATATGTGCTCATGGCCAAGTTTTGCCACCATTGGAGGTGTTACGTAATACCGCACAATATTGCTTGCATTGGCTGCGCGATTACTATTGGAATACTCAAAGGGCAAATATGTGTGATGTAGATGCCGCGTTCATTAGGCGAAAAGATAAAACACAATGTGATCTTAATATTAGCAGGCTTTTTGAAGTTTATGACTCAGCCTTGGAGGTTTATATGGGAGGTGTTGTAAACATAAAAATAGCCAAACGTTATTTGCATGGGCATCGCCTGCAATGTTTGAAAGAATATTATAATTTAAATAAATTCAAAACATTAACGGAGATATTCGATCACATTGTGCAGAAACTTGGACAATTGATAAAACGCGATATAGCCATTAAAGATATCACAGAGGTTTTTGTTGAAGCTATCCTTAAGATGAAATATTTCTTTAACGTCTACGAAAAGGCGCAGAATTCAGATAAACATTTGGAAATGCTATTAGAAGTTACTCAAACATTATTTCGTATGTTGGCTTTGTATGACATGTTGGAGAAATTTTTCGAAGCAGTGCTTGATATTGCTGAAAGCGTTTCAGCAAGCGATGAAAGAAAATCAGGAGCCAGTTTTTGGGCAATACAAATTAGTAAGGGTTTTAAAGCATATCGCAAATGTAAAGAGCTATATAAAAAGGAATTAGATAAGGTACGTTTAAAGCTAATAAATTGAATACGAATAATTAATCTAAGAGATTGTGCCAACTGATCCTCTTTCAGAATCCTAATATTCAAGAAGTAACATTTTCGTCGACCAATGTAACTAAACTCTCACATCATGTACGTGAGCTTTTAATTTGCAGTGGTATTGACCGAAGATATACCTTAATATTATCGGATACCATGCGTAGACCGTGGATTTGGAGTTTCGACCGTTCCTACCTTGAAAAACATTTACAGATGATTAATAAATACACAGTTCCAGTAATCAAACGGCAAGTTTGTAAATATTAAAATTTTAAATTTAATTTCATACTAATTTTTCTTATAGCTTATTATATTTAATTGAGCCTGAATTAACTGTAGACGAAATGCAAGCATTTTGCTCATTAATTGAGGCATATTTTGAGGTTCCCACCGAGACAAACATGAAAGATAATTCCAAGATTTATACTCCTCAAGATTTATTAAATAAAATAAACGGTGTAGTTGCAGAGACTATGGAAGTTGATAATGACGAGCACTCCTTAGAATGTGAAGAGAGCACCGAAAATTATGGGTTATGGTCTATTGCACCAGGTAAGATGTTATTAAAATACATTATTGTATATTATGTTAAATAATAGATTTTTAAACTTCATACCACTCGCTAACTTTACCGCGAATATTAACTTTATGTACAAGTTTTTCATGCATTTCATCATTAGATATATGCGTTATGATACAGGGCAACGTAAGGCGAGTTTTTAAATTTTAACACCACCACAGCTATACGCATTCCTCATATCCTCTTGCAGCACTATTATCAATAGAATATCATAGCCAAGTTTCGAGTTGAGGATTTTCTTTCTTTTTTTTTTTTTTTTTTTTGTGTTCAATTGTTGTGATGTAGTCCTGATCCATACTCCACCAGATGGTTTGAATTTTACACTGACTCTTTGCGATGATGGGCGGGAACCTTGTAAACTTAGGCTTACTGGAAGTTATGCATTATAAACCAATACAAAAAAGGAACACGATACTTAGGCATAATCAAGCATTCTATGGTGTCGCTGTGTAATGACAAGCAAAAAAAAAAAAAAAAATCAAAAATTATTTTTCTTTCATGTTAAATGTAGTTGAAGGCAGGTTGATAATAGATTGATTATAAAATAGTACATTAAATTTCAATATTCGTTTGTTGAGCGAAGAAAGCCAGCGCTTCGAGCGACCCTTCATCTCCTGCTAAGAAAAATGATCTGAAGTGCAGGAAGGATTAGAAAAACCTGCAAAGATTTCTGATGCTCATATATTTTTTGTATTTGCATTTGAAGATTAAGTGTTCAGCAGATTCTCTTACGCTGCATGTGTCGCTAAGGTCACCAGATGCAGATTCAATCATATAAAGATAAACTTTTTTATATCGGTGAACTGTTAGAAGCCGATTAAGAGAGGGAAACAAAGATTCTGTATGGAGAAAGGTGATAAGCACTGCGATCATTTTTAGCAATTGGCAATAATTTGGAATTCAATATTCCATACCACATGTAGGGAGTTTTTGATGATCCTTATGGCTTCTTCACGAGTATAGTGATACTGAAGAAGTTCTCGATAAGTAATTGCCTCTTTAGCTAGGCGGTCTGATTTTTCATTGAGTGGATGAGCAAAGTGACTTGGTAATTAAACAAGATGCAGTTGAGTTACACAGGCCGAAATACAATGCACCTAAAGACGTTCATAACATATAGGAGGCTATATATACTTTTCCCTTTTGAACATTGTTTGGAGAGGAGACTTACCGTCATTTATGAGATCTATCTTACGATAATCTGTTCAGATAGCATGTTCATTACTTATACTAATTGCTACAAGTTCTATCAAGCCGGATATAAGTTTGCCAGGCAATATGTATTTTCTCGAAAAGTTGAAATTGTGTTGAAAGGTGGCTACCGTAGAGCACGTAATCTACAAAGGCATCTCTGACATACATTTTAAGGAATTTGTTAGTCTATGTGCTTAGTTTTTCAGAACAGACAGTCTGGGCTATTGATGGTGCTACCTTTTGTTTACACTCAGCCACTGTAGAAAATATATTGAAGAGACTGTGACATTTTGAGCATTCTGTTTGCGGATGATAAAGATCTGTCTTATTGGAAACATTCATAAATCCATTGTAACTGGTAGTATAACTGCAAGTGGCATATGAGGAGATGACTTTATTGTACGCTATAGAATTCGTACACAAGACCTTTGTTAGCTGTTTTGCAATGAATAAAGAAGCTATGTAATTTGTGTAACAAGTAGAGGGGATATGATGGTGCAAGAACTATGCACAGACGAAGCTGTTTTCTTTTAAAAACTTTCTGTCAGTCTGTCAATATATTTGGGTTTTTTCTTTTAGTTGGTACGTTTTCGTTTAACCAATCAGATCGTATTAGATCGTATCGGCTGATTATTTAACCTTTCAATATTCATTCCATTACGGCTTACTTGGGGCTAATCTTGATTAATTGCTTGTTTGTTTTATTTTTGGTATGTTAAAGGGTTAGCAGCAAACCAATCGGAATCTTTGTCGCTTCAAATTTGCTAACGGAAAACTTGTATTACATTTATATACAATATAATATAGTTACTTGCAAGCACTCTTACATCATGTTTTATATAAATGCTTGACTTGGCATGCCATAGTGGCTACAGTGGTATGGAGTACCAATATCTTAGCATCATAACGCGAACACAACACAACACTTGGTTTTTTTTTTTTTTATTATTTAATTTTAGTTTCTTAATTTTCTTTTAATTTGACTTTCTTAAGCTTTTCATTCTCCTTTCTTCCTAATTAGTGTTCATTATTTTTTATTTATTAGATATTGCATTAATATGTCGTTGATATTCATTAGACAGAAATTGATAGCACCGTGGCGTTATCATTGGGATGGTCAGCATATGATTCCGAGTTTATTTGCGATGGCCAGGTCTGTCTGTCTGAAGTCTATTGGAATTGTCAGAGTTGATTTATAAAGGGCTACAATTATATATATTTACATAAATAATATACTCATGGATTAAGTTTGTAGGCAAAGTTAGAGAAAAAGGCGACATGTGTATCCACATTAGTTAAATAACGGAAGAGAACTTTGCAAAAACGAATCTAGGACTTACAGGTGACTTTGACATTGGTTTGATTAATTTTTAAAGTTACCTAAAACTTCCGGCTGAATCTGCTCTTTTAATATAATTAACCCGAAACCATTTTCTCAATGAGTTGTTATTTAAATTTTGCCTTCAAATGAACGTAGCTTTCATTTCACATTCATTTTTGTTCAACAGCCAACATATTGAGTGTCTATTGTGCTTTTTTGTGACATTCAGAAAGGCGGATTGTCATCCATCCATTGCCTGGGATCAGGCTAAAACCGAGGCATATATAATCAATTATGTCAATCATCAATTCAGCCAGCGAAGTATATCATATAAATACATTGCATGATCATTTCTTTTCCGAATTTTCTTCCACGGCTTTAATCGTCTCAAATCGGAATTCATGAAAGAGTAATTTTGGTACTGGAAATCGCTTGAATGTATAAAGCAGACAAAAAATGATTGATCATACCTACCGCAAAGATTATGTACTTTCCTAAATAGCGGTTAGATGGCATTCTTAAATGTGTTCACTAATTTGGCTTTCAAACTCAAAACCTTCTTGCTTGAGCGCTTAATTTTCAACATGTGTTGAAAGTGTCGAAAGACGCGGCCACGGGCGTAAGTTTTTTAAAGCGGCCCAAAAATACCTAACTGCACCGATATCAAGCCAAAATTAGAGCATAACTTGCATATGTGGGCGGGAGCTTGGGAGACCTTGATCGCATACAGCGAAAGGCTCACATGTTGATGGGCGCTATCCTTAAGCATCGGACCAGTGTTCTACGGCGGTAAAATAGATATATGTCCATCAATTTTAAGCCCTTCAACAGGACTACATACCTATCTCAGCGTTCTTACGCATTCGCTTTGGAGTTACCTCGATACCGCTCAACACACTGCCACGACTCATCGTTTCTTAACTATAAAGTCCACCTTTTCAAGTTGAACATTTAGAAACACTTCTTATAACTTCATCCGATCACCACCGTACCCGAACGTACAGGGGATAACTCTTGGGTGGTCATGATCATGGAACAAAAACTTTCGCTTTCTTCATTTTATATACAAACCTTTATCAATTTAATGTTTGTTAAGTGCCACGTAGCGCCACTGATATCGTATGCTACATTGGTTGTTGGTGGCATATTGCATGTTGCCGTGAACAATTTTCGGCCCGATATGTCTTCAATAAACGAAGATGTGTGTGTCTTTGCTAATGCTGTTAAGTCATCGAAACCCCTACCACTTCATATCAAAACGATTTTTAAGCCGCGCATATTTAAAGTGACTATGAAAGCCTTTTATCTGTCTATAAATCGCACCTACATATTTACTTTGTTCTTATATTATACGATATGGTCGGTATATGGTCCATATTTTTAACTCTGCTGTCGTTCAACAATTATGCCACAGGAGGCTCTATAGTGTTGCCTTCCACATCAATGTTAATTATAGTAATGATTATTATTGTATCATATAATTAAATTATCATTAATAATTATCATTATTATAATTAATAAATTAAACGAGTACGGGAAATTAAATTGAAACCAATCCGCCTGGGCGATCGAGTAGACAAAGTATTTCCAGCTAACAAATCAATTGTGGTAGATTGGAATCCCAAGGGCGATAAAGTTTTAAATAAATCCACTAGCGCTTAGAAGCTAGTGCTTTAAGACTTTACTCTTAGTACTTTACAATTTATTTCTCTCGCTAATTTTAATAATAATAGCAATAATAAATTACAGTCAAAGAAACATTCATTCCACACTAATTTTTTAAGAGAATTATATTATCACAATTAGGATGACTTTAGTTAAGACAATTAAAATTGAAGTTCTATTCCATCATCCTATGTCGTATAAAACATGCCACATAATGAATGTACTTAAGTCGTAGAATCATCCTGAAGGGGATGACCGACTTCCCTTACTTGTTAAGTATTACAATTTTCCTGAGATTTATTTCTTTCGCCAATTGACTTGATTAGAAGAAATTCGAGAACTATTTAAACCTGTACTTGAATGGGCCTTTTTGTACCCGCCACTGTAACAGGGGGGTATACTCATTCATAACATCCAAAAGGTAGGTTTAGGGACCCTATAAAGCGTGAAATTCTGTGTTGATTTAGTTATGTCTGTCTGTCTGTCTGTCTGTCTGTGTGGCTGTATGGTGTATGTTGTTGGCAGTCCTCCTGGTGCAAAAGCATTAATATTGAAAATGGGCCAAATTGGTCGGAACAGAAGTGCGCCGTGGAGCGTAAACTGAGCGCAACTTTGGTTTTTTAACAAAAATTTGTTGAATTTTTGCTCGTTATTCGAAAATTATTAAAGTTAGAAGATTGAAATTTTTCACATTTACATTACGAAGCACTCTACTCTTTATATGCAAAAACAGAACGGATCGGTTATGTTCACACATCGGTTATGTTACGGGTAATTAAATTCTATATTTTTGACTTTTTTGAAATTTTATGCTTATTTATCATAAGGCAAACAAGAGCGAATGTTGAAAACTATTTTGTACACTCCTTAAATGAAAAAAATGGATTAATTTTAAAGTAAATATCGTAGATACCGCGATTAATTTTTTCTTAATAATATCAGCGATATGGGTATCAAATAAAAGAGCTTGGGGAGTAGAATGCGAAAAGCATAGTGGTGGGTTGTGCGAGATTCGGCTTCCGCCGAATCTAACATTTTTACTTGTTTTTATTTATTTTTTTTATTTATTTTTTGTCTTTTACTATTTAAATTTTTCTTTCTTCTTCGTTTCTTTCATAAATCAATTTTCAATTAATATTTGTTTTGCAAAATTTAATTTATGATTACAATTTTTGCATCTTCTTATCATAATTTTAAAACTTAATTAATTAATGTAATATATTATTCAATTATTCTTTTTTTTTTTTTTTTTAATTTTTAAGAGAATGATCTGTGCAATTGGAAAACCTGCCCTTTGGGACGTTTACCTTGGGAGTGAAGGCTTTTTAAGAAAAAATTTTTTGCATTTCTTGTAATTCTAACTTAATTAGAGACTGTTTTTACATTTCGCTAAATACAATGCATTTTTGTTTATTCGAAATATTTCAAAATTTCCTGCATACTTTTTATATCAACAGGTAAATAGCTGCGGTATCATGTTTTTCATATCTTATCGCTTTGTTTGTTGATTCATTCATTCATTTGATGGAAATATGAAGAAAGTAGATAATTAATTGTTATGGAAATGTACTATCAACAATTAAAACGATTGCATTGCTAGTACGGCGTAGGCGTAGGTTACACAAAATGAACTTAACTTAACTTTCTCATTTGTCGTAATTAATCTAATTTGTATCGATATGATTGTGATTGCTTTAAAAATCCCACACCTTGAAAAATGCAATACAAATTATGTATGTATATTGAGTCACAGCGTGTTAAAGTTTCCTTTCCAAAAAGAGTCGAGCAAAAAAAAAAAAAAAAAAAAAATGTAACATACAGCCGTGGACAAGTAAATAGAGCGAAATAAACAAAAACTTCAATTTTTTTTTTTTTTTTTTTCAACTTTCAAAATAAATAGATTTTATTCGTAATGGAGAGAAAACATTGTTTCGCACATTATAAATACACAATATTTGTAGAAATTTTTCCGTCTCTTTGCTCGCAAAATAGCGAAAATAGACACAATTTTTGATTAACATATTTTTATACTCACCACTGTAAGATGGGCATTTTAATTTTTACCTTCAGAGACCCTATAAAGTATATCTATATATACTTCATCAGTATCAAATTCCGAGTTGATTTAGCCATGTCTCGTCCGTTTGTGTGGCTGTGTGTTGTTGGCACTTTTCTGGCCGCACGGTGATAGGTATCAAAGATTCGGTCCCGACCGAATTTAATTTTCTTACTTGTTGTCAAATATGTATCCTTTAGGATTTTTGGTTTTATTTATATGCAACAATTAAACATTTGTTTTTTGTTAAATGTATTTTTAAGTAAAATTTAATTTTTTTATATATTTCCCTTGGCGAATTGTGTGCTATTTATGCGTTCACGACTGTAGAGTTCTATATCTTAATGGAAACTGTGTTAAATTTTTTTTTTTTTTTTTTTTTTTTAATGAAGCAGTTGCTCACTTACTAACACTCCCAATATTTTACTTACTATTGCATCAAGCTTTTTCATTTATTTATTCATTATTTTAAGTTTTATTTTTAAATATTCAAACGCAGTAGATGGTTCGGCTAATATTGCATTAATAACTTGAATATAATTGTCTATCTGTCTGTCTGTCTGTCTGTCTGTCTGTCTGTCTGTCTGTCCATTTATCTATCTATCTATCTAACTATATATATATGTTAATGGTTTCCTTTTGTTAATGATTCAACGTTAAATGCAATTGAATGTGTGTTTCCAGTGAACTTGCTTGTCTTTGCATGTTACAACTGAATTTTAATAACCAGTAAACCAGAAGTAAACCTGTAAGTAAATCTAAGATTACTAATACATTTTATATGTCTGTTGTATATGTGTTTTTATGTATGCAATTTATTAAATAGAGTGGAATTGAAATTAATGAGTAAACGGCAACAAATGAATATCATTGTTGCTCCCATAACATCTATGTTTAAATTCTCCTAAGTGTTTGTGGAATTTATTGAAACGAAAAAAAAAAAAAAAATAGAATAATAGTAACAATAATAATAATAATAATAATAATAATCGAAATATTTAATTTGAGTTTTCGACATTCATCAATTAAAAGAAATGCTTAACTATTGGAAAAGATTGTAGTGTAAAAAGTTTATAAAGCATTAGAAAACTATATTTAGATGATATATATTTATACCGTATATCGCTTGTGGTATCGAGAGAAGATGAAGTTTGGGCGTACATACGTTACATCAAGATATCGAATCTGAATCGCTCTAAGGTTGTCTGTCCGTCCGTTTGGCGTCTATCTATCCATGTATTTTTGTATTCCAACCTACATATCTCAATTGTTGACTTATTTTGATGCAATCTTGTCCACTCATGTCTTGGAAAATGATTCAGATCGGTTCACTTTTTCGAAGGCGTTATTTTGAAAAGTTGTTTTATCGAACAAATTGCCATTTTTTGAAAATTCTTCGACAATAGTACTTTGATATTCTAAAATGATATGAAAAATTATAATTCATCTGAGACGATTCTATGAAAACTGAAACTTTATATAGTAAAAAAATCTGATAATTTTCAATATTTGATGGTGAAAATTTCTTTAGAATAAATAGTAAGCGAATTGATTAATATGAAAAATATTGAATATTTTAATTTTATTCCATTAATTGCAATCAAAGTAGTTCAAGATTTTAAATTGTCTTACATATGCAAATAAATTAAAGTTTAATTATGATTAATGCTATTCTAGATAATGTCCGATTTCATGGAAATCGTTTTAAATAAATGATTTTTGCATTTAACTACTAACTCTATGGCCCTCTCCTCTCTGCCTGCCTGCCTTCGGTTATTTTGTTAAAGCGATATTTATATATACCATACCTTACTCAAATTTTACCAACATTGTATATATGTAGATAAATTTTTAACATTAAAACTTTTCGATTTTTATTTGCTAGTATTTATTAAATTATATTATATATGTATATATTATATTATTATGTATATTATTATATTATTATGTCGTATCATTAAAAAAAAAAAATTTAATCGAAAAACATTTGTTGCTGCGATATTTACGAATATACCTAATTAATGATAAATCATCAGACATTGATTGCATAGACATTGATATTGAGATTCCATAATCGTTAAATCAAGAGCAGTAAAGAAGTGAAAGTAATTAAATGTATTAACAGGTGTCAAAACTTTTACCGGACATTTAAACCATCGAAATCATTCAATATTGTGTGCATATATATTGTAAGTTCAAGTTGTCGTTCAATGTATATCAAAAATTTAAAAGGATGGATGCGTAGCAGCATACGTTAGTTTGCGTTTTTAAATGGATACAAATGCAAAATATGCGCTCGCTGAAATTTAATCCAAAGTCCAAATTTAATCATTAATTAATCATTATTTTAAGGATCCTATTATTATCCACGCGTTGTCGTCGTAACGTACTAAACATGAAATGTTCTTACCCTATAAATGTTTTCATCAACAGCAACCTTTTACATGGGATGATGTCCAACAAATAAATGTACATGTGTCAGATTAACTTTTCAATCAAACTACTACTACTTATCACCGATCAATTTTTATCATAAAATTTCAAAAATTATTTTTATTTTTTTTGCATTAGAAAGATGTTTCTGGAAACGTGTTCCAAAAGTTGTTCCTATATTTTTTACATTACTTCAATATACTGGGATACTAGTACTCAGCGTTTTTTGTCGAGAAATTTTGAAAAATAGCAAATGATTTTAATATAATGGCTTTTTGAAAATATAATGTTATATGAGAAGTGGTCGTGACTATGATCCGATCTAATTCATTTTCAATAAAGGTCGTTTTCGAAACAAAACATGCCAGTGTAGAAAATTTTGTCAAAAAATTGAAATAATTGTTACCTGCACAGTGAATACTAGG